TCGCGGGGGGCTGGTGCCTATCTCCAGCGGTCAATGGGCAATCAGGCGGGGTACACCCTGGACAGAGAGCCAGTCCATCGCAGGCAACACAGAGCCGCACAGGACACACGCACACACGCACACATACACACAATTTAGACAGACCAATAAACCTAACAGTCATGTTTTTGGACTCTGGGAGGAAGCTGGAGAACCCGGAGAGAACCCACGCATGCACAGGGAGAACATGCAAACTCCATGCAGAAAGATCCCAGGCTGGGAAGCGAACCCAGGACCTTCTTGCTGCAAGGCAACAGCTCTAACCACTGCGTCACTGCGCAGCCCTATTATTATATCATAATATATAATAATATATTTATTATAATATTGTGATTAAGTCACAAATACAATGACAATTTGTTTCTGACTATTAATAAGTACCAGTCAGTAATAAGCATCCACATATTTGGATATATGAATATTCATACTCTAACTGAATAAGACACGTGAAAAGTTCTCATTGAAAATCCTTCACTCTTTGGTTTTTGACTTAAAAATGATATGTATTGAAAAATGTTTGTGTATTTACTCCTTTTAGCAACTTTGAGAATGTTCTGGGACATTTTATTTGATTGCATCTGCAAAATCTGCTGTGAGCCAGCCGTTGCACCAGCAGGGTGTGCCAAAGGAACATAGAAAAGTTTCTTCTCCCTAACAGCAGGACTGCTTATTAGCTGAAGGAATCACTCAGTCTCAGGACTCCAGAGTGAGGCATTTTAAACAGATTCAGCTGTTCAGTTCCATTTGTGAGGATTCCTCATACAACGAAATGTTGCTGTCGAGGGAGCCTGCTCAACACAAAAGGTGTGAACAGAAACAGGTGTGAGATAGTGGTTCAATGCTGAAATCTCACATAGCTAACATCAGAGACCTTCACACACACGCACACACACACACACACACACGCTCACGTGCATGAGCTGTCAAATTATATTTTAACAACTTGATTCAGACTTAGCTTGTTTCAGAGATAAATCTGAATGTTTCAGTGTTGCCAAGTCATGTGCCCGTTGTTCAGTGGCGCTCCCAAGGGGTGGTCCCTTGAAAATTTGTAGCCTGGCCTGCCAGACTCCTCTGTTCAATTCTGCACAGAGAAAGGGTCCGGGAACTCTCCTATTCAAATAACCCCACCCCGTGAAAATTCTAACCGAGCCAATCAGCGCTGAGCAGCGTACGTCACACACCACAACGCCGAGTTGGTCGAACATGGCGACTGAAGCGGAGTTCGCTGCGGCTCTTTCCTCTGGTTTAAATGATTTGGACACATCTTTAAAACAACAGCAAGTAGAAGCGCTAAAAGTCTTTCTTCTATAGAAAGATGTTTGCGCTGTCGCCAGTCGCCATTTTTGACTACAGCTAAAAAACTACAGCGTGGCGGACGTCACACAAAGCGACGCTCCTCATAAACAACGAAGACAGCGGCGGAGTTCGCTGCGACTCTTTCCTCTGTTCTAAATGACTTGAATGTCTGTAAAACCACAACAAGTGGAAGCGCTAAAAGCCTTTCTTCTAAAAAATAAAAGATGCTTGTGCCGTTGCCAGATGCATTTTTTTTTACTACAGCTAGAAAACTACAGCATTGCGTGGTACAGTCGGCATCTCCGTCTTTTTTCTGACTGGTTACTTTTGAGCTGCCTAGTCCCGCACCTCAAATGCCTCTCTGCCTGTGAGTTACCAGACTCTTTCTCTGTGCAGGATTACATAGAGGACGAGTCTGGCAGGCCAGGCTAGAAAATTACTGCTTGGAACCATCATTGTATCCGGGGACGCCAGGGACATTCCTCCACCATTATTTATAGTTGACTGTTTTGTTCACACCACATTTGTAAACCTGATGCAGATTTTTATGCTTGCGCTGATGTATTTTCTACTCGTACTCTCTGCTGGATTATCATCTACTCCTTGCAACTAACTGTTATTTAAACCCCTCTATACCGCTACCTGTTTCAGTTATGGTGTTTCTTGCTTATTGCAAACTTCAAAATAATACCTAACTTTTCTTTAAGACATTTAATTATTAATACTTTAACTGTGAATTAAACCAAAACCGTAATTATTTGAAGAGCTTGGCATGCTGGGAAAGCTGCTTCATCCTACCTGTTATCAGTGTACTGACTGGTCACCACTAGCTACTCCTTTAACTAACCTGCTGGTAGCTTCAGACTGATATCAAACATGAGAAAACTGGGTTATTTGTAGCGAGTTTTACTTTTAGGGCAGCACTTACTGCACAGTTTTAAATCAGATCCATAGTTTTTCTTGGTGCATAACAGTTTTAATTTAAAACCACAACTATGTTTTATTATTTTTAATCGGGAAGATCCCAGGACAGCTCGGCTCTGGTGAGAGGACGTGGAGTTAAAGCAGTGGTGCAGAGATTAAAGGTGTTGTTTATTCAATACATCTGCAGTGGTCGCTAGTAGAAATGAATGTCATGTAAGTCGTACTTTGGGGAAGTAAAACCCCCCAGTGCACCATTTCCAGGAACTACATCAGAGCTGAGCTTCAGACGGCAGGTTATGGATTCATATTTCCTGATATTTGGACATCCGTCCTCTGATTGGATAACAGCCGCACAACTTTACCATCGAGTTTGCTTTGCAACGATGATGTTTTATCTCCACAAATGTCGCAATCCGGAGTTCTGCTGTGTGGTGTCAGCTTCCACTAGCCGAGACGTTCTCTGCTATTTCCTGGACGCTAAAACAGCTTTCCCCGTCGCGTGTCAAGATGGATAATCATTTTAAATGGGTTTTCCGTGAACCACGCCTCAAGAGCTTGCCCTGGAAGTGAATTTGTGGGATCAGTTCCTAGTTTTAACTTTTATTTATTGAATAAAGCTCCGGTTTTCAACACCTGGTATTACAATGCCTGGCATGTTGTTATTAAAAATAAATATTATAAATACTTATTTATGTATAATCAATAGTAATTGTCCACAGCAATCTTTAAGCCACACTCAAGTTTATGGTTGTTCTCCCCAGCAACCCTTAGATCTGAATGATCTCTTTAATGATCTTGCTCTAACCAAAACCTCCCACCTTCCACTGTGCTGTCCTCACATGTCCTTCTGAGTCCAGAACAATTTCAGCATTAAAGTGAACAGCTGTAAACACAGCCGTTAGCTGGCCGTTGGCGTACAGCCTCTCTGAACGCCTTTCACTGTCAGCACACTCTTGTGACTGGAGGTCGTGTAGTCAGTAGCATTCAGAATGAATGGTAAGCTCTCAAACACACACACACACACACACACACACACACACACACACACACACACACACACGCACGCACACACACACACACACACACACACACACACACACACACACACACACACACACACACACATCATCATTTCGTAACTACAGCTGTTCACACAGACAAAGGTTTTCACGTACATCTGGTTTGGATCATCCCCTGTTGGTGTGTGTATGTGTGTGTGTGTGTGTTCTTGTAATGGAACATGTGATGGCTGAGTGGACGGGTCTTATTTTCATCAGGCGACATCTCTTTTCAGTCGTCATGCCTGTTTAGTCTTGTAATGTGCATATTGGTGTTTATGAAGGCTCGCGAACCCAGCGGGTATTTTCCTGATCAATAAAGAAGAAGAGAAGTAAGAAAAAGAAGAGGAGTTACAGCTTTTTTATAGAAACATTTTTGGGACATTTTCTTTGTTTTTGAAATTGTTTGTGCAGTATTTTTGCACCATGAAGTCTGGATTATATTTTATGAAGTAAATGCAACATTTTAGCAATGGTTGCAGCCTGGAGTGTATGAACGGCACCACAGTAAGGCGCGAGATCATTGGGTAGAGGGATGAAGTCATGGCTCATGCTGCTGCACATCTCAAGAAAGCTCGAGAGCTTGAGCAACATCCAGAATATAAAGCTCTCCAGAAAGCCAGGGAGAGGAGGAGACGGCAGCGGGAGAGAGCCAAGCGGCAGGTAAAACCAAAATACCAGTTAACCTCCTAGGACCCTGTGTCCACATATGTGGACACTGGCTCCTTTCACTCTAAAATGTGTTTCTTTTCTACTCAGACCTTTGTGTCATAAATTATCGACACTTGATATTTACTTACCTTTTACCAATTTTTTTTTGGTTGTATTTCTTTTTTTAGGATTTTTGACAACATTTTTATAGAATTTTTATTGTATTTTAATTTTTGTTATTTTGTTTCTGTTAATTGCATTTGACTAATCTGTAATAGCTAGATATGTTTTTTTCTTTTAAATCAGACCAAATTCAAGGTTGGGTCCCAGGAGGTTAAACAGACTGAAAGGGATTTTTGTAAGTGCTTGACTTTTAGTCTTCTTTAATGGAAACAGCAGCCTGACGTTTTCCAGGAAATGATGCTTTGGATTTGCTGATCTTTCACTTCCTGGCTAAGCTAAACTGTTTAACTTATTGGTCAGTTACTTTGTTGGGCCGAGGTCCGAACGACTGGGGCCTTTTGGGGCGATGTTTCCTTCCTTTGTGCCACTCTGTAGAACGTCTCAACACATTCTACATAAACTCAGTTTTATTTTATGTAACAGAGTTTTTTTAACTAATCCACACTTCATTCCTCTGTAGAGAGGCTTAGAGGTTTACCCATGTTCTCTTAGAACAGCTCTGGTGAACTTTGTAATCTTCAGTCTCACAACATGTTGGTGGAAATATGGCTGAATACTCGTTTCATCCCCTCTAATGATTCTCATTCAGATTTCGCTTCCTTGAAGGAACTGATCCGTTTGGTTATTTATTTATTTATTTTTTGTCTCTTATTCATTTCTTATTTCCTGGCTTGGCAGCCAGATTTGTTGGTGTTTCTGAATATTTTTTTCACATTACTGTTTGATGTTTGAGTTGTACGCATATTTAGTGGCACATACTTGATTAGTAGCAATTTCCTAGGTCTAGACCAGGGGTGTCAAATATGCGGCCAGTGGGTTAACTCCGGCCCGCAAGCGGGTTAAATCCGGCCGGCGAGATGGTTGTGAAAACTTTATTTTCATACTTTACAATGTAGAGTGAAAATAAACTTATCTTTGTGAGCAAGTTTTCTCTGTAACGAGTATAAATAAAACAAAGCTGCGCTCAAGGCTCACACAAGAACTTGAATCACATCCTGAAGTTGGCTGCCACTCAGGATGTGACTTCTGATATTGATGTGCCGGTGAAAGCTAAAAGATGTAAAGTAAAATGAGTCAAATATACTTTAAGTGCTGCATGAAACTGATCTTGCCATGTGATCTGTAAGCTCTTTGAATCACTAAGGAATGTTTTTTTATTTGTTGATTTATTTATTTATTTGTTTTTTTATTTCAAATTTTCAAGTACACTTCAGGTGTTGTACTTGTACTACACTGTCCTCAGGCTCCAGCCTTGTTTTATATTGATTGTATTAAAACAAAGAAAACAATCTGAAGTTTTTTTATTTATTTACCGGTCCAGCCCACTTGGGACTAGATTTCCCTCAATGTGGCCCCTGAGCAAAAATTAGTTTGACACCCCTGGTCTAGATTGTTTCTCTTCATAATGATGGAGATCTTTTTTTAATCCAGTTCTGCGGACTCTGCCCAATTGATTTAATTGGACTGACTCCAGCTGGGTGAAGTCTATCTAGTATCTGTCTATTGACTCGTCGAAGTTGCAGGGTCGTGCAACAGCCAGTGTTCCATTTCATCTGGACAGAGTAGAGTTTATAATCCAGTATCCGTGAGTATCTGACAGACTGCAGATCAATCTGCACAAATCCTGTTTAGCAGCTGTTTTTCAGTTAGCTCGATCTGATCTGAGTGGTTAGCTTGGCCAACTGATAAATGCAGCATGTGGACGGACAGTGACGAAAAACTCAGATTCATATACACACCTGCTGCATCAGTAATTCTGTTGGTGTGAACACACAGAATAGCTGTGGCCTCATGAGTAACATGCCTTAACGGCTCGAAATATTGTGATCTTTTACCGTTGGGTACTTTTTATTGGATTATTTCAGAATTCGGGTTTGAAAACACCAGAAAATAACAGTAAGATTGTGTCTTCATGGTAGTTCTTGGCGAGCATTACAGGCCCACACTCTGCGTTAAACCCAGCTGTCGTTCACCCCCTCCAACAGCAAAGGGGCTGGGGAGAATTGATGATCCAAAATGACAAAAATAGACAAAGCAGGAGATGCTGTGTGGGTTAAGTGTTTATGTCCGCAGTTGTTAACCCACAAAGAGGGAGTAGCCGAGGAAGAGTCGGCAGGACAAAGCCTGTGGAGCAGGCCAGGCACTGTCAGAACCAGAGGTGTAGAAGGATGAGAGGTTTTGGCTGATAGAATATGGAAAAGAATGAAAATGGAAGTAAGCTTTGCTGTCACATTTTAAAAGTTTGGACCGCTTGTTGTTGGGTCGATTAATGCAGCCAGTAGAGGGGAAGTGGAATGGAAAGCCTCGTGTCTGTGGACGCAAAGTGAGATACTGTAAACACTGCATGTTGGGGGCCGTCTAAAGGATTGTGAAGACTCATTTTGAAACTGAGGTAAAGCTGGGACCTTGATTTCTAAGTTGGAACTATGGGTAATGGAGCATCGTGTAAATCCTGTGGATCAGTGAAAGCTTTAAAGAGCAACGGGAGTGACTCAAATCTGCACTCTGACTACTACAGGGCTGTTGACTCTGGTTCTGAACTGCAGGATTTCCTGGTAAGAGATGAAAATGTTGCCGTGCATGTTTTATACTGATGAGTCTTTTCATACAGTATATTTATCTCCCTGCTGGCGGTGTGTGCATGTGTGTCATGACCTGAGGTTTGACCTTTGACCCTACAACGGGATATGGCCTCATCCTTGACAGGCAGTGAGGATGGTATAGTCCTGATCTCTCTCAGCAGTCTGACTGATACTCAAACTCCTTAAATCTTTGCGTTTCTACCTAAATATGTTGTGTCTGTTCTGTTTGTCCCTAAGAAGGATTGAGATTCAAAAATGTAATTGATGACCTATTCACCCTTTTAACTTTAGATTTGTCTACAACAGTCACATTCTTGCCTAATAAGGACAGTAAATGGCAATCTAGGTTTTCAAAAGCTGTTAAATTTTAATATTAAAATGAAAAATCAATGTTCACGTGTATGTGATGCAAATGTGTGTGTGTGTGTGTGTGTGTGTGTGTGTGTGTGTGTGTGTGTGTGTGTGTATGAGCAGGTGTTCTGTAGTTAAATTTAGAATAGGCAACTCAAAATACCATCCAAGCAGTCTGGCTTCTGTGAAAAAGTGTTTTGTCGTATGAAATCATTCTCGTTTTGTGTGTGTGTGTGTGTGTGTGTGTGTGTGTGTGTGTGTGTGTGTGTGTGTGTGTGTGTGCGTGTCTGCATGTGTACATCTGTGTGTGTGTGTGTGTGTGTGAGTGTGTGTGTGTGTGTACATCTGTGTGTGTGTGTGTGTGTGTGTGTGTGTGTATGTGTGTGTGTGTGCCTGCATGTGTGCATCTGTGTGTGTGTGTGTGTGTGTGTGTGCCTGCATGTGTGCATCTGTGTGTATGTGTGTGTGTATGTGGGTGTGTGCATGCGTGCATGTACAGGTGCTGGCCAGTAAATTAGAATATCATCAAAAGGTTGAAAATATTTCAGTAATTCCATTCAAAACGTGA